TTGTGGCAAAAACACAGGAGGTGTCAACAATCTATTAAACCGTGCAGTGCCACTATCGTTAGGTGTTTGTCCCAATTGTATGATAAGTCTTATGATTTTTTAGTTTTTCTACTAATAAGCAAACTCTACAAAAAATATTCAAATAAAGGTTTCAACCAGTGCTTTTTTCATCTTGGTTTTTTAAATTGTCTTGCAGCGTTCATCGGCGGTAAAATGCTTTACTACTAAACCTTACGTACTACCACAAATTAATACATTGTAAGCATTATTTTGAGCTGACGTCATCAAATTTTTGATGGGAGTTATTAAACAAATTTTAGTTAGATATAATAATTACACACCAGACGACAGGCAGACTACAGACCGTCAACGAACATACGGAACGTTAATGGCTAAGATCATCGTTTCCGCGGATGCCTATATTTTTCTAAATTATTTGAAAAAGTTATGTGTAAGTGACTATCACGATTTTTACTTCCCGAGCGTAAGCTAACGAAGTGTTGTAATAGGATCCATTGGGCACTGGTTACTTCCATGTTTCCCCGACGTTTCATGACCTATAGAATACAAAAAAAGCTGATCTACCATGTCCGTCTATCTGCCTGTCTGGCGTTTGTCGTCTTTGATGATTTTTATTGATCAAATAATCTCCAAAATTACTAGAGTGATTGTTGTCAAATTCTGTAGGTATCATGTATGTAGATGGTAAAACGCTAACCAAAATTTATCTAATATTATTCCAACAAACAATTTAATGACTTCAATTAAATATTTTGTGCAGTAATGGATTTAAATCTTACATAAAGTACTCCTTTACTTGTGGTTTATGAATTTACTTTGATTTTGTTCATTATTGTCGTTATTATTATTTTTACTGTTTAATTCTTCCTGTATTTTCGATGCATAATACGAAATGCGACAAGCGTCTTGTGCAGTAGGTAATCGAGCGTTCCGTGTTCGAATTCGATTCTCAGGAATTTCCAATTATTTTTGTATTGATCAAATCAAGAATTGTTCAGCCCACTTTGTTTTAACACAAGAGCATCTGCTATTGCTGGTGCTATAGTTTCTGTCCGTGCTCAGTGGTGCGCCCAGCGGCGCGGGAGCTGCGGGGATATTTGGCACTGCACAGCATGCTTCCTTACCTGCAGTTTAACAGTCCACACGTATCTTTATTTGAACTTATAGGGGTTACCATCAAAGAATAAAATTCACAAAATTAAATTTTATAATTTTTCGAAGAAGTTACATTTGTTCGACACTGTACTTTAGGGGCGAGAGACGGTCTGTCTAAATAATCTTAGCCCATTTTTTTAAGCTAACAGTTTGTCCGTGGGCAATTAATACGGGTTCAAACAAAGACAATCTATGATGAAGTATTCTTGTCCTTCTTAGATGACGTCACTGATGCTCTTGAAAGGAGAGAAACCTTAATTGTTATTTACCTTGACTTATCAAAACCTTCGACTTCATACCACATTAATTCATAAACTCTATGGATATAACATTGATTCAAGTAGTTACAAGCTAATAACGTATTTGTTAACAAATATCCAAAAATTTCCATAACTTTTTTTGATCAATTTTGCGCACTCATCAGGGTGCGGGAGGTCCTGCTCTGCTTTTTTACTTTCGGTTGTCACAGTAACCCTAAAGCAGCCTGCTTTATTCAAGACGTTTCGGAGGCAATAGACCGAGGAGGTTGAAATAAAAACGGAGAAAGCATGTCGTATGCTTCCAGTGGTACGGTTTTGGTAGAAAATCAAACACCTACAACACTGTTTAAATTTACGATGTGTGTTATTTGTATTGTAATGGGTTCAAACTTTAGATGTGAGGAGTACAACAGAAATATTAACTTTTCCACCCGATTTTTTTCCATAGCATTCTGCAGATGAGAAAAAAATCACTTCAATTCATTAAGTGATGAATAAGATGGCACCAGTGTGAGAAAAAACTAATGTAGGCTTCTAATACTTACTGGATAGGATAGAACTCAAACATTATCTGTTATTAATGTAATTTTGAGGGTACCAACGAGCAGCACAACGGATATCCCAATTAATAGTGCATTTTTGTTATAATCCGAGATAAATTCTAACCTGTCGCATTACTAGCTTTTCGTGAATAAGGGCTACGAAAAATCAACAGCATTAGAAATTTCTGCACCCAACAAGACTTTACATGTGTGGAGCAGATAATTTCAATGAAAAATGTACATTTGACAAATGTCTCTAGTTCACTTCAAGTTTAAAATTATTGTAATGACTAATGACTTAATTCCATTCGATCATAAATTGGTAAGTTGGAAACTATGAAGGTTTGGACTACAAAAAAACTTTTGATCATTAATCATCAGGAATCGTGTCCTCGTGTTCTGAAACTCCGTCAACAATTAACACACATTAAGAAATTATGTTTTATGGAAAAAAAATAGTGACGTACTATTATTATACTTCTATTAACTACTAGGTATACCTGCCGTAGTTTTGAAGTTATGAAATCAAACGGCGTTTTACTAATTTTGATACTGAAAAAAATCACTGTGAGAATTTAATTCTGGATGGATACCACTATTTAAGTGCTCAACTCATTGCTTTACACTAAATATTAATAATTTCCTAGATGAGAACCTGATGTGCATACATTAAAATTATACGTCATGATGTTCGAGTGAACTCAATTACTGTAGAAATTATTCCTATGAAATATGCTAATTAATGTGATGAACATAAATTAGTACTGAACGGTATGCATTGCAGATGCAAATTTTAATATAGTGTAAAACTTGCAGCGGTTGTGTGAACAAATAACTGTTTATTTCTTGTGCATATATGAGAAAATCAGGCACAAATATAATATAAATAACTCAAAGTACTTAGGACTTTCGACGCGTAACGTGTTCGGTAAGTGTCTTTTAGGAATTTTCTAAGTGATTATTTTTTAATTTGCGTATTGTAAGAACAGTTTAGATTCATTTGACTTAGACTCAGGTAGAGAGAAGCCGGTTTTGATGGAGTTTCATAGATACTGTCGGAAATAACCGTACCTATCTTGGAAAACTTTATTCAGTATATTCCTGACGTCAACGGAATTCCCATTAGCACAGAAGATGTTTATCTTATTCGTAATTGTATTCGTATCCCTATTTTATTTTTGTACAGCAAAATTTTATATTCTATGAATTTTACTTTGCGAGTAAATCTTCTTGGAAATTTTGCTATTACACTAACAGTGACTCATTTAGTAATTCTAGAACATTAACAAAAAAGTAATTATTATTCATACTCTCTAAAATTTGAAGCATTATTACCAAAAAAATATAGAATAGATACTTATGTACAAATAAATTATGAGATGTGGCTTTACTAATATGTTTTGATTTCTTGGAACGTATTAGTGCATAGGATGCGTGAAACATGTGTCTGTGAAATAAATCTTTATTTTGGTTGTATCAGAAGTGCAGTTAATATTGCTTTCATTCTAGCCCAAAATAGTTTTTCTTAATTCTGGGACATTCGCTGAATTAATTTCTTTGCGACGAAGGTAATGTTTTCTTACATACGTAAATTGTATTTCGTTGACCTTTGTTTTTGATCGACCAGACTCAACAATATCAAATTTGTCTGAAATAGCGATAGTACATAGTTTAAAATAAATGCTGTTAAACGTTATATACTCGCCGGCAAATAAAAATGGCCACAATGAAATATTTTGCAAAATGTTGGTTTTTTCTTCTAGTTTGAATTCGAAATACAATAATTCTAGAAAATGTTTTACCATTTGTGGGCATTATTTTCAGTTTACATTAAGAAACTGAAAAGACGCTTCAACATCAGTTGTTATTATAGTTTGACTAATTTACAGCTATTAACAAATTCTGTAGAAATTTTACAGCATTATACGTATAAAGTTGTTTTTTTTAAGTCCATCAACGTCGTAATTTCTCCCAGTAACATAACCGGCGACATGGCCACGAATTTTTATTATTATTATTATTATTCCACAGGTAAGAACCCAATTACGGAACATGCGTACGTACTAGTAATTCTTCAGAAACTTATTTTATAAATCACGCACATCAATTAATCTTATTACTTTGGAATTCAAACTAAATAAATCAACCTTTTTTTGTGCTGTGTTACCAAATGTTAGAATCTTATACAATGGTGAAAAGGCTAGAAAATCAGTCTTCGGTGTGTGCATATAAAACCGTTGTTGATTTCTGGATAAAATAAGACGGTTACTAATATTGAAATTAATTTGACATAATTTAAATTTTTGAATTTAAACTTTTATAAAGGAATACTATACCAGAAATTTTGTGTCTATCGGAAATACTGCTAATTGAAAACCTCTCAAGTAATAAAGACATTTCGTAACCAACTGGAGGGCAGAAACCATCTTTCCTAAAACAAAGATACTTCAGAAACCTTCTCTGTATGCATTCCAAAGTGGCAGTATATTTGGCATGGTGCGGAAACCAAACAATATTTGCATATTCAATAATGCTTCTAATACATGTTCTAAACAAATGTAATAACGTACTGACATGAAAATCCTTCGTATTCCTCATGATACAACCACGTACCGCATACGGCTTTTTACAGACCTTAAGTATATGCTTCGAAAAACTTAATTTACAATCAAAAGTTACTCCAAGATCGTCAACAGGTTCAGGTCTGTATATAATACATGTGCCAATTACGTAGTCGTATGAAATATCCCTCTTTTTATTGCTGAAGGTGAATGCTACACATTTATTAGCATTAAGTGATAGACCATCAACATCGCTCCAAGTAACTATCTTATTGATATTCAGCTGCAAACTTCTGCAGTCTTCAACCGATGTAATGACAGATGAGAATGATGTGCAATACATGTTTGTGTAGTTTGTATATGTCGGAATGTAAAATTACGATTGAACATAACTTAGATATTTTTCTTTTACAAAATAGAGCAAGCAATGGAAGAATGTTTAATCGATATTTTTGTTACAGTTTCACCCAATATGTTATCGGAGATGAAAGAACTTCCCACTGTCCAAATAGGGGATTATAATCTACATCTAGAATTGGACGAATTATCACCAGAAGTAAAAGAAATAGCTAGGAAAGAATTAAGAGAAACACCAGATGTCTCAAGAGATGCAGTTATAGCATTAAGAGATCTACTTAAGGGTAAGAATTTTTTTACGCGAGGTTTTTTAACTTTTTGTTTGGTATTTTAGAGGAAAGGGATTTACATATTCCATTAGAAAGCGATTATTGGTTGATAAGGTTTTTACGTCCATGCAAATTTTATCCAGAGAGTGCCTTAGATCTTGTAAGTTTGTTATATTTAATTTCTTTGTACATAAATTACGAGATACTCACTATCTGTTTAACCAGAACTAGTTTACTCCCAAAAACAAAAAATATTTTGTTTTGTTGTTAAAATACAGCGACACAAAAGAAATGCAACTCGTTTGCGGAACATCTTAGTCCCTCTTTAGTGGATCTCTGATTTTATTCTAGTGAGCTAGAGCTTTTTTAGAGTTTGTACATTTCGCGCGCTAGTTACACAAATAACTACTTCCACATATAAAATTAATAAAAAACTGACCATTTTCTTCTTCCAGATCAAGAGATATTACAAATTTAAAGTAAAACATGCAGATATATACAATGGTTTAACACCCAGTAAGGAGAAAAACATTTTTGAACAAAATATACTTACAGTTCAACCTAATCGGGATCAACTGGGGCGTAGAATTTTAATACTAGAATTAGGAAGTAAGTTAATATTCATGAATACAATTGAAAGTTAACACACATTAAATAATGTTTAAATTATTAGAAAAATGGAAAACCAACGAAGTCACTTTAGACGAAGTATTCAAAGGTGCCGTTTTATTCTTAGAGCTTGCCATGCTAGAACCTGAAACACAAGTGTGTGGAGCCGTAGTTGTCTTTGACATGGATGGCTTGTCCTTATCACAAACAACAAAATTTACACCAATGTTTGCCAAGAGAATCGTTGACTGGTTACAAGTAAGTCAAATATAATTTAAATTGTAAATTCAATTTATATCGGTAATGGAATTGTAATGTTTAATTTTTAGGATAGTGTACCACTTAGAATTAAAAATATTCATATCGTAAATCAGCCCTATATATTTAAAATAGTTTTTAACTTATTTAAACCTTTCCTGCGAGAGAAACTTAGAAACAGGATTATATTCCACGGAAGTGATCGTAAATCTTTACAAGAGTACATCAGTCCAAAATGCTTACCAGAGTGTTATGGAGGAACTTTGAACTTGCCACGAATTAATGGGCCTCAGTGGTTAGAACTATTATTACAATGTGATAAAGAATATGAAGGTAATAACTTTGATTATTATGTTATTAAAAGCTTTGGCATGTCTTCCTTTTGAAAACATAAACGATAATAATTATTTGTTATATAACTGTTCTTGTACATATTGGAACTAATATTTTTACATTTATTTTCAGCTATCAACAGTTATGGGTATAATAAGAAGATAGAAAAATAAATTTCTGGAGGAAAGTTTTCAAGACGAATTATAATTTTTTAAGGGGTGTTTTGTAAAATAATAATTTATAAAGATTTTTGTGTTTTAGTTTAGAATTTTGTGTGAATAATATTTGAATTATTATTGTTTCCTGTTATTCTACTTATTCGAAAAATATGTATCTTTGTTTTATAATTTGGTGTCTTAAAATTATTCCGATTATTTTGGTGAAAATATAAAAATACATTATTAAATGTTTCAACGAATGATTTTGAGTTAACCACATTTACTAATAACTCTTTTTTTTTAGTGTTATATAAACGATAAAACAAGTCAAAAGTTGGCATTTACAGAAAACTCACCACTACTAATAATATCACACCTTGGTATTCTTTTTAACCCACCAAGCCACCTCTTCAATGGTCGATCTGGAGGTCTTCGACTTTGTAGTATACGAATTTTAGCCCATTTTACGATCCTATTCTGATCCTTTCGATTTATATCTCTTCATTGTTTTCTTCTGGATTTAACTCATCTGATCACATCTTCTGCTTGAAGTTTTCGTTCGGATTACTCTCAGCTAATATGTACTTACTTAATTGTTTCTCCAGGTTTCTACTGCTTGATATCTGCGATGCGAGGTAGTACAATTTTATCACTTGCTTTAATGTTTTCCGTCAACAACCAGCTTACACCGAACGGGATGTTTTCATATAACCAAAGATTTGTTTTTTTCTGTTTAAAAAAATCATGTACTTAGTACTTTCCTGATATTCTTTGAAATCTAAACAGTATATGTCTTCGCTTTCGACTATTAAAATAAGGTTTAAACTGTTAGTCTATCGTTTTCCAGTACGAATACCGTTTTCTCTATTTAGTATTTCCGTTTTATATTTAAATATCACACCGAGTAATAAATAATTTGGGCATTGCCACCTATCCACTTTAAATAAACTATCATGAACTAGAGAACTGTGGGCATTTCACAACGACCTGTATTTATGTAATCTTGCCTTTGAAAAGAAAGACGAGATGTTTGTAGCAGAGAAAATACACCCCTTTGATAGAAAAAATTAATAACATTATTAACGCCATATTTTTGTGTTTTTTATTCAAAGTCACTCTTCCACTTTTGCGGTTCCTCACTTTGCATGGGAACGCATTCCAACATTTTGTTGACTATCACAGTTCGATGATACTTTTCAAAAGTTCGCGGTTTTCGAATTTTTCGCCGGTTTTAATATTCGTCCACATCTTTGTACACATCTCTCAATTTTGGCGAAATGTTTATGTTATCACAATATGTTTCTATTTTGTGACCGAGCTTGTTGTACAGATGATGGAATCTATGATTAATTGCTATTTGCAACCAAATAATCCTTTAATACATCCTTTTTGTTCTTCGTTGAAGATATCGAATTTAAAATAGTATTGATCGATTTTTTACTTCCCGAGCGTAAGCGAAGGAAGTATTGTAATCAAGTCCATCGGCCGACACTCTACTTTTACGTTTTCTCGAAGTTTCATGATTCCTAGTGTACAAAAAAATAGGTCTCCCGTATCCGTCTGTCTGTCTGTCTGCCGTCCCGATTTTTGTGTTATGGGTAAGGTTAGTATTTTATAAATTGTAGGTAAACACCTGATAAGTCTGTATTTTGATCGATTTGATATTATCCTTAGGGTTTAGATGTTATACCATGACATAAAAATGTTGTAAATGTGGATGGATTAAGAAGGAACTGGTTTAAGTGTTTTTAGTAAATGAGTGTATATACAACTGAATATTTTATCCAAAAATTCTATATTTTTTATGTTCCTGGTGATTTCCAGTTTTGTTTTCTCTTGATGGAATTCATCAATTCGTCAAGTGTTATTTGATTATCATTCATTGATCTAACTGTGGATAGTTTATTGGCTATGTAGAAAATTCATTGGTTGAATTCAAATTTTTGAGACCAAAGTTTAGATCAAAAACTTGTTAAATCCTGTGAACTTCGAAGTCCACTGAGTTTTGTGTGTATTGCTTAGTTAAATTTCGATGGAATAATTTTTCATTGTTAAAAAACTGAGTGTTTTTATTCAAGTCCCGTACTTTAACCCTTTCATGTCGACATTTTTAAAATAGTTTTTGCCAATTTTCGTTGATATGTTAAGACTTATCACTATTTTGGGTACCTACTGCAAAAATTTCAAATTTTTTTAAAGGAGTATAAAGCCAAAAGGACCATGGAACAAATGTGTCCCAATAGGAGGGTAATGTGTTAATATGTATTTGAGGATTTTGTTTTATTGTTTTGGAAAAATACAGGCGAAAATGTACAAACTGTATATGATAATTTGCAAAACATTCAATACATAAGGCAATGTTGCATTGATTACATCATGTTTTTGTTCTTTTTCCTTACTTTTTTGGTGGCATAAATTGCATCTTCTTCTAGTTGTACCTTGAATTAGCAAGTGTTCACCTACATTTCGTGACTATCATAGTTTTGACGATCTGCCGTAAAAAACTTCTCTTGAAACTTGCTAATTTCTTCCCTTCAGATACATTCTGCTAATGGTACGAGGAACTTTTTTTAGAAGTAATTTATAAGTGTGATTTATTTCCTTGAACAGTATCCAGGCGTTTACCACTGATGTAAAGAGTAGTTTATAGAAAACTTTCCACCATTTTCCAGATTTTCCGACCAAGTCATAAGTTCCCACTAAATGATCAGAGAGATCAACACCTCCCATGTGATCATTATAAAAGAAAATTGCTTCTGGACACAAAGTTTTAATTTTAGTTCCGTCTTTTTGTTTTCTAGATATTGCAACGTTATTGGGATGATACCAATTTATCAATCTGACAGTTTCGATAACATTTTCGCAACATTTTTCCAATTTGTTCTATTAAAATAATTAAAAATCAGTGAAAATGTCTCTTCGTGAAAGCGATAATGAAAATTTAACACTACCTGAAATTACTGAACACGCGAACGACTTAAAAGTTATATGAAAAGTTTTATTTCCAATTTATGGTTTGGAGAAAGAAAAACAAGGTTAGCAACAACTCAGAAAATGTTTAGTTGTGTATTTCGATCAATTATGCACAAAATTCAACAACTTTATGGACTCATTGTTCAATTTTAAAATATACGTTATCAATTAAATACAAAGTGGACTTGATGAAATGCCCCAAATTAGACACTTTATTAAAAAGAAGATTAACGCGTATGTAACCAAAAAGGCTAAAACGTTCTCAACAAATGAGAAAAAGCAATTTATTGGAAAAGCCCCTGACAATAAATATTTATTATACAAAGTCACATGTATCTTCGATATTATAGGAGCCTGCGGAAGAAAGGGGCTGCACAACTTGGTATACAGAGATGTAAATGATTTTTCATCAACCCTTCTAATCACAATTAAAGATACTATAACTAAAGCAAGACAGAAATATTCCGTTACAGAAAAGTATTAGGAAATATTTAAGAGGTACATAAGTCTTCACTCAAAAAATTGTGTAACGTGTAACGCTTTCTTTTTTAACAGCTATGTCAATGGTAAATGCACCATACAAAAGATAGGAACAAATAAATTTCGGAACATGGAAAAAGAGATTGGTTTCTTTAGTCTTAAAATCCCATTTTATATACTGGACACTGCGGTTTTTTAAGTAATTGACGCTGGTGGTGAAATAATTTTATTAAAACGTCATGACAGATGGAAATCCATAGCAGTCGCTGAAACATACATTGATTAATCAGTTCAAAGTAAAGTGGACGTGGGAATTCAAATTTTGAACTTAACTGAATACAACGAAGCTACCTACCAACGCAATCAACATCATACCTTCAACGTCAACGACATCCACTCATAAAATTATAAAATTGTCTATGCAATTGCACTTTAATAATTGTAATCTCATTAGTCATTACACCAAAAAATTGGTCGAAGGTTGTTTCGGCAGAACTTCCCTTGCAGCTGAAGTAGACTGATATCCAGAATTTTCGAAAAACTATAAAATTTCATTTTGCGAGTTTTATTTTTTTTATGAGAACCCCTCTAATTTGAAATAAACATATGTATGTAATGTTAAAGTAAATGTAAATAAGCGTGCTAAGCCTATGTTTCAAATGAGTTTTTACTTTACAAAATTTTGTGATGGCGTCATTAACATTTTTGCAAGAACACGTATATCAGCTTGGATTGGTACAGTGTAAAACTAATAATAACAGTATCGTATTCCCAAATTTTCGAGAAACTGAAGTGAGCCGTTGCTGATTTAATCAGTAAAATAAATTGACCCATTCATTATTTTTTAACGTCACCTGTATAAGCAAATCTAAAAAATATGAATGCAATGATAAATCACAAGTAAAAACTCGGAAAATTTTGCATAATTTAGGTAGAATTTATTCGGCAAAGTTTTGAGATAATAATAATATTAATAACCTTTATTTCCTTTTGGGACAAAAAAAAAATTGAAGATGACGTCATCTATTTTTTCGGGGACAAATAGATATTTTTTGAATACAAATTTACCATGCCATATTGCAAAATGTTGATATATAATTTCGGGTAAAAATTCGACACGGATTCATAAACTACACTTATTATTTTATACAATTTAAAACCCATGTACTATATACGTACAATTTTGAGATTACGTCATCATATTATTGGTGGGGATCATTAGACACGACTTTTGTCACTACTGTCAAGAGTACCTACAATTCTCTCAAATTTTATGACATACGTAAAACTGTAAAAAATATTTTGTCAGGAGTAGACCCCCAGTTTCATTATTTGCAAGGTTACAATAAAAACGCATTGTGAAGAAATTTACCTATTGGAAGGAACCATTTTTACGATTTTTCGTCTCATCTTTTGATCGAATGGTCTGAGATGGATTTATCCTAGAAACATTAGAGACTGAAACGTGGTGAAATGTTCTTGTGTTAGTATTTCGTGAGGCGATGCCACTTTTTTCATTAACCTCTTCGGAGACTCTAGAATTATTTGTTCATCGAATTACAAGCCGTTGTAGGCAAAACAGTTTGGTCTTGATGACTCATTTTTCCTTTCAAAACGTCAGAACAAACAGTTGAAAAAAGCAATTAATTAGATGTAAAATGTAAAATGGGTGTTTATAATAATAAATAGGTACAGTACCTTGCACTGTAATGAGTCCTTTTAGATAAAATAAAGGTATTTATATGAGTTTGTTCCAAAGATTTCACTTTTCTCGAAAATTTGTGATCTGACCAAAGGTCACTTTTTTTTAATAATTCTTAGGGCCCACCACTGACCCGAAAATGACCGGCATTCAGCCAAGACTTCTATCATTACGGGTACTAAAACCAAGTAATGATATGCATTGCCTCGATTAATAATAATAATATTAATAATGTTAACATTAACAACGACAATTTTTTTTAACATATTGCGAAATTCTTTTATTGTGGTTTTATTTCATAATTGTAATGACTGACCCATGCTTCTTCAATTTTCGTTTTCAGCTAATTAGATATACTTCAAGCGGCAGAACTGTAATTTTAATAAAACTACACAACATTCGACTTTTGTTTCGAATAAGTCTCTCTAAAAAATGAGGACAACGTGTGTGCGAAATTTTCACTGATAGTCATTTTTGTTCAGTATTCAGGTACTTAAGGATCGAGTGATCAGATACGTTGTGAAAGACATGTTCATTGTCCCGTTATACATTTGAGCAGATTTCACCAATTCTCCAAAATCATGTCATGCACAGGATCATTTTTTTGGGAGTGGACAAACACGGTCGTTGTCTATATCTATTTTTGCTTCTTCAAATTTAACAATGGAATTTTTTTATGATAAAGTAAAGTTACCTCAGGTCAAGTTTATTAATAAAACTTACACATATTACTTAGTTCCAACGATTAACATAAATTATAATAACTCACATGAATAATAATAATAATAGATCAAGGAAAAAGAACAATTTAATATCTGTTTGAAAATAACAGCATACGAAGGTCTACATATGTCCCTTCAATATGTCCATCACATTTATATAAATTTTCTAGCTACGCAGTCCCTACAGAAACAAGTGCTTATTCACTGACCGACAGGTACTTTTATTAAAATTGATACTTTTATGAGACATAATTACTAAAATTGGAGGAACTATTTATTTGTCAGAGAACATAGTCATTCTCATGGTAACTGCTTTCGGTTTTGTATATGGGAAAGTTCTGAGGACACGTGCTTATTATTACGCCTCGCACATTGTAATAATTAATTTATGTGAAACTAAAAACAATATAGTTTTTAGTTATTAATCGGGATATACATTAGTCATGACTCAAGAGAATGAATAAACAAAAAATATTTCAATATTGTTTCTTTTTAAGATTGAATTTTAATGATGGATCGGCCTGGCAAGTGGACAGCGTAAGAAATCTATTGGTCAATTACTTTTTCTGTTATATACCGATATGTGTTGTGCCCTGTAACAAGGAAATTTCAAGATTAATATCAATGAATTGTAAATACGTAGGTACATGTTATACTAAGCTAAATTAACTCACCATTTTCTGCTTTTTGAAACATTACGTTTAACTTTACGTACCAACATCATACAGTTAGAAAAGAAGTAAGGGCGTACTTAGTTCATCCGACTTTCAAAATGTTGTCGAATTTTAAAACTTTACCAAAAGTTCGATTATTCGTGCCATCATACAAAAATGAAACGAAATGTACAGGATGATTATTTTATCTGTTCACGAACTCAATACTTTCGTGTAGGCCAACATTATACACATCAAAAGCAACTTGATCCAATCTATTATTGTATTTCATAATTAACAACACAGACGTCAAGTAGCTAATAATAGCAAAATTCAAACAAAATAGAACGTAATGTACTGATTCCTTAAACGAATATGAAGAAAATAAAATAAATAAATAGGTATCCTATAATAAGTGCTTAAACTGCCCGCCTTATCTTTCGTCACACAGCGCTATCCTGTGTTCAAAATTTCTACCTAGTCTAATTAGAATCTCACGTGTGAGACACCGCGATGCTTTCATGCAATTGATCTTCATTTTGAATTGTAAAGGCTGAAAGGGCCGTTGACTAACGTGAGGATTTTCTGGCGCTGTACGACATCTAACTTTAGTTTTCTTAAATTGTTCAACTTCTCATAACTTTTTTTCGAGTTTTCTAAATACTTGGTTAGAAGGAATTATATCGCGTGGCATATAAACGAACGGCAGCATCGAAATTTCCATCATACTTTCCCAAAGATAAAAGCATGAAAACATTATTAGCAAAGGTTGAAATAGCTATTTGTGCAATAAGATAGGAAAAGTTACTTTTTTCCACATTCTAGACATAAGATTTTTGATCTAGACGAAGTCGAGATCAAAAACATGTCGTGAATGTGAAAAAACACTTTTCCTATCAAATTGCACACAAGATTTTGTAAAATTAGGTATCTCTTCATTATAAATTTTATTGAATAATAAAATATCAAGTTCCTTTCCATGCAATAAATTTGTTATTATGGAAAATACAAACAAAAATCGCAACACTTTGCAATTTTTCAACGTTTGAAGTGTTTTGGGTGTTTCTTGCAGTCAAAATGTTGGAAGATGATGTTGCATCAGTATCTTTTGATGTTGAAGAGTCAGCACACTGGCACGCAATTCACTATTGTCCGAGAAATCAAAGGAAAAATATGAAAAGGGCTACAAGGAGTTCGAGAACTGGTGCTTAAAGAAAAGAGTGCAAGATGTGAATGAAGAGGTACTATTAGCATACTTCGAACAGAAATCACGAATTTTGAAAGGTTCTACTTTATGGAGTATTTATTCAATGTAACGAGCAACACTTAATATGAATAAGAAGATCTAAATTAGAAACTATGCAAGTTTGATAGCCTTCATCAAAAGAAAATCAGTGGGTGAAGTTGCAAGTATTTATAAAATTGGACGTCGAAAACTTTTTGAAAGAAGTTAATAATGACACTTATTTGTTGATGGAGGTACGGTTTACTTAAAATTGTATATTTATGTAATACCTACACTTTTTTCTTTTAATTTATAGGTTGCGTTGATTGTGGGAATTAGCGGAGCATGTCGACGTGAGGAACTGACATTTCTTGACATTAAAAACATACCAAAAAACTCTTTTTTTCTCATCGAAATTCCAAAGACAAAAACAAATATAAGAAGAAAATTTGTAATATCGAGTGGAAATTTTGATGGTGTCGACCTATCAAAACTATTTAGAATGTACTACAACCTCCGAACTTCTCCAATAGAAACAACACGGTTTTTTCTTGGCTATCGGCACGGAAAATGTACCAGGCAAATGGTGGGAATTAATACAATTGGTGGAATATTAAAACAAATTGCAGATTTTTTAAAACTACGACATTCTTCAACTTATACTGGCCACTGCTTTCGTAGAACATCTGCGACGTTACTTGCTGATGCTGGGGTTGATATTACCGTTCTAAAGCGGCATGGCAATTGGAAGTCTGCAACTGTAGCTGAGTCGTACATTGAAAATTCCATTGAAAACAAATTACAAATACTACAACAGTCTAGTGAAAAAATAAGTGTAACATTTAGGAAGGTATCAAAAATATCAATACAAGAACATGATGGAAATGTCTTCGATGCGAACGATAATTCACCTGTTAATTTAATTAGAAATTGTTCTAATTTTGTAGTTAACATATATAAAAATTAGATTTTGACGACATTGTTTTGTTTTATTTTTCCACTCTAGTTAGGAAAAATTTCACTTTTCCAAACCCAAATGAATGTGGAAAACTTGAACAATTAACAACCGAATTTTACAAATAATAATTTGTCATAATTCTGGCACAAGCATTGCCATCAACAGTTATTTATTATTTATAAAAAATTAAGAATAAGTTGTAAAGTTGTTTATGGAAAGTAAAATGTGTTGCCCAATCAGACTCATCCATCAGGTGTGAACAGATAAAATAATCACCCTATATAAGTTTAATAACTATTTTTCAGTATAGGCTCCCAAAAATAACTATTTTGCGGACTCATTTACGTCTCTAAAATGAGCATTTTTCGTATTCAATCCCAAAATTTTTGGTAAATAAAGCTAATAAATGTAAATAGTTTTATCGTTTTATAGTTTTACTTGTTAAACTCTCTTAACATGCTTGCTGGGGATAAATGTTAAGCTACTCTTAACATGGTCCTCGAATGTTAAGAAAAAGCCATGCCAACACTATACCGGCTGTCTGGAAAATGGCGGATTAACTCTTCAGTACGTTATATACGGGGGTTTAGGGAGTCCCAAAAAAATAATAAAAAACTCTTTATAATGTAGATTACGAAAAAAACGTGGTTTTATAAAAGGAAAATTGACAACACTGTACACACCTAATGCGTGAATATCTCCGGCTTACTTTTTGGTTTCTTAGTAACGATGGTGACTGAAATCCATCTTCGCTTTATATCAGGCAAACATTGTTGTCAAACGGAATTTTATCAAATTATTACAAAAACAACACAGCCATACCTTTGTGCATTCCAACTGAAATGGTAATTAAACATGGTTATGGGCGAGGAAAATATTAACTAAAAGTTTTACTACTAGTTATTCTGATAATGAATGAGTTGTTTAGTTGTTAAACGTAGTAAAAGAACCAATTTTAAAATCATTATAACTCCACCAAAATGTGAGAAGGATTTTTTTACTATTTTTCCCAGACTCACCACTTGATTGTTAAAAGAGCGTAGCGGAGAGCTAATCCGCCATTTTCCAGACACCCGGTATATTTCGCCATAAAATGTCAGACAAGTTTTTTTTATTTTAACTATTTTTCGGCTCTCCATTTATTAAAAATTTCGTACTTGTTTTCGTACCTATTTCTAGAAACACTAGAAAGTATTTCTGCAGTTCTGACGGAAGAAACAAGCGCTAAAACAAATCACTGCGCGACAAAATAATTCGCGATAAAGGGGCTAATTGTCTTTATTAAGCAGTAAATCAAAAGACAAACAAGATGGAACAACAGATAGCAATACATATATAAATATCTCGTTTATATTCAAAGGGACATGTAAAGAGCAACGGATTTTAAATGCTCCTCGACACTGGCAAGCAAATGTTCGGACATTAAAACGTTGAGCCGCCTCTTTCGTTGAACATATTTGAAATTAGGCTTTTCCCTTGTTCGAAATTCAGAGCGGTACCTGTTTATAAACAATTCTGAAGAACTTTATTCCTTTTTAAGTTGCTCTATCAACTCGAAGATGTGAGGGTGGTGGAAGTCCAATGATCTTCTGAAAGCGTTATGCCAGGCTTCTAAAGTATTATTTGTTCTCGGAAGAGACCGTGGGTGTGCTATGTCGTGGATCTCGGCTCCGCAGAATCTTTTAGGCATACCAATCTGCTATTGCACCCCTTTTCAGTGCAACGCCAAGAAGATCTCTCTATCTTTGCCGTAGCGATAACCACTATGGAGTCTACCGCCTTTCTGTGACTGCAGAAATTCCATCTTTTTTACGCGGATAAACTTTACTTTTTGTATACCTACTATCCATTGCCAAAATAGCGCTATTTCGTATCCACTCTACATTATCCAACGTCATAGTGCCTTAGCGCTATTTTTTCCGGACGCCCTTTTGTCGCGAATTATTTCTTTGCGGCGCTCTTTTGTACACGGCTATATAGTTTCATTTTTTTTCTCGCGCGCTATTTTGTCCAGCGCTATTTCTTGGCGGGGGCATTTCGTAATTATTTATTATGAACACATTTTTTGACAATGTTGACCAAATTTGCTATTTATTTATTTATTATAATACCGTAGTAACCCATATGCCTAAGCGATATGATTTGGATGAAAATCTAATTTTTATTTTAAATTCGTTGTTTTAGTTTTATTTTAGTGACCGATAAACTAATGAACGCATTTCGAGGGGTAATTCGGCTTAACATTTCGCGCATATTATAAATTTCAAACATATGCTCGAATGTTAAACCTAGGTTACCCTTCTTATTAATACGTTAAACACTACAACATTGCATCGTCGTCTACGATTGCAATCTCATTCATTTCTTTTCCTTTCATAAATTTGACGAGACTTCACGAAAAGTAAATCTAACACAATTTTCTTCGCGTTTTAAGTAATATTATCCGGATTCTGCATTTTATGTAAAAAACGTCAAATTTTGTTGGGTTTACATTAACAATGGGTTACCACGATGGCATGGTAGCTAAAATACGAAGCCGCCATGTTCGAGAAATGTTTGCTCTGGTCACATTAATCATACCTATATGTATAGTAAGAGGTTTCAATGTGTTTTTGGGAGCTTTGACTAAAAAATGTCGATTGTAATGCGTACCAAACAAGTTTTTGCGTACTCATCTGCTATTCGGCTATGCGTCGTCCGTAAACACAACATTTAATCCGTAAAAACTGTATTTTAGGTAGATATTTGTAGGTAACAAAAATGGCTATTTACATATCAAATTTGCTCTAAAAGCAATAAAGCAGACTTTTTTTTACAGAGCAGAAACATTCAAAATATCACCATCAAAATATCTACAAACAATACCTGTTTCAGTTCAGCACCACTGTTGTACAAAATTTTATAAATAATTAAATATTCACCAAAAATTAATACATTAAGAAAACTCAAATTCAGATTCATTTTTCGCAATATCGTCGAAGTACATACCTACCTGAACAATACACAACAATAAAATATTTTAACCTTTCCCTTTAATTACATTGTAAGTCGAGGTCACTTTACAAACGTAAAAAGGTACCTACGCATTTAACTTGTCGTTTACGTCCGAATTTCTGTTTATGTCGAATGTACACGGAGTGTTAAAAAGTGCTAATAACATGTTTGACTTCAAAACAAAGTTTAACTTACTTTCAAAAGTTTTTTCGTAATAGAACATCATCTCTGACAGTAAGTATCCTGGGTATTCCAAACTACTTTCACATCCTCCTAAAGACTTGGGTAAAGCTTCTTTAGATAATTTTTCAGTAAGCACTTTTCTGTCGGATCCATGAAAATATAGCTAAAATGTTATTTTAAAATAAAAAAGTTAACTGTTTGTTAAGCAAAATTACTTTTTCTCTCAGTTTTTCTCCAATAAAAGGCTTAAAAATTGCGTACGCGATATTGAAGAGTTTAGACTGATTAATGACATGGATGCCCTTTAACCTTACAGGAGCGCATTCCTGCAAAGTGTGAATTAACTACATTGCTATTAACCAGCAAATAGTAATAGTATATTATTAGCCAAGGTTGCAGAGCCAAGCATTCTAGACCGAGCGCAAATTAGAACCCGAGACGCGCAGCGTCGAGGGCTCTGAAGCGCGAGGTCTAGAAGTGGCTTTGCAACCGTGGTTAATATACTATTTTTTTCACTAGTAGAAACCATAAGACAATAAACTGAAAAAATAAACGTTCAATTTTTTGACGCAACATGATTTTGTTTTGATTTCTAATCAAACTTAATCTAAATCTTCAAAACAAAGAAAACCGTTTATACATGTCGCTGAGTTAATCATTTTATCTTCTACCGTCTACCACCTACCACGCGTATACTCAAGTAATGTTTGTAGCACACATTTGTTCATTTTATAAGAAATAATCACATCAAACATTGCCTACATAACCTCAATTTTTTTTTTGAACCGGTGGTCGCAAAAGTTGAATTTGCTACCTCTAAATGAGTCGACATTTCCATGCGTCATGGCTGCTAGTGAAAAAATAGTATATTATTAACCAAGGTTGCAGAGTCAAGCATTCTAGACCGAGCGCAAATTAGAACCCGAGACGCGCAGCGTCGAGGGCTCTACTTAAGTGCGAGGTCTAGAAGTGGCTTTGCAACCGTGGTTAATATACTATTTTTTTCACTAGTAGAAACCATAAGACAATAAACTGAAAAATAAACGTTAAATTTTTTGACGCAACGTGATTTTGTTTTGATTTCTAATCAAACTTGATCTAAATCTTCAACACAAAGAAAATCGTTTATACTTCTCGCTGAGTTAATCATTTTATCTTCTACCGTCTACCAACTACCATGCGTATACTCAAGTAATGTTTGTAGCACACATTTGTTCATTTTTTAAGAAATAATCACATCAAACATTGCGTACATAACCTCAGTTTTTCTTTTTGAACCCGTGGTAGCAAAAGTTGAATTTGCTACCACTAAATGAGTCGACATTTGCATGCGTCCAGGCTGCTAGTGAAAAAAAATATTTTGTCTGTATATCTTTCTGCAGAGACTATATCTGTTGAAAATGCTGTTTGGTTTCAATACACTTATATTAATATCGAGTGATTATTAATGATGGAAGCAAATTTTTGTGTTGGCAATTCGGAATTATCGGCAGACATGCTAATGTATCAGTTCACATTTGTTAATTTTAATATGAGCATGCCTAACAAACTTTATGCCCACATACAATTTTAAATATGTTGCGAACCTAAGAAAAAAAATCACAAACATTAATAGTCACTTGGTAGTTTGTTAGTTTCAAATTTTACTGGACGTGTGAAACATGTTAAAGTTAGTTCTACACTGCATACGTAGATGTTTTTTTATTAAATTATTACTCCTACTAAAAAACTATACAACACGTACCGATGGTCTTTACCATGGGTACGTTGTTTACCTTTGTGAACAGTTAATTTATTTTTGTTGATAGAAATGTTTCATTAAATTTGGAAAAGCAACTAGGATAACTGAAAATGCAAGAATAATCAACAACTAAAGAAAATCATGTTTTCTACAAAAACTGTTGTAACAATGTGGTCACTTTTTAAATAAAAAGCCATTAACACGATTTTGAAACCGCACTTATTCTCAAATTTTATCATGCAATTGAATTGAAATATTAGTTTCGTCTCCAAGTTCTAATAGTAATTCGACTGTGCATTTGAGATATAACATTCTGTAAACGTGTTCCATATCAAATACAATACTTACAACAGAGTGTTATACCTACTTGTACCCAATCTGCCATTAACTTAGCCGTAGAAGGTGAAAACTGCGCAACATGACTTAATGACAATCCTTCCATATTAAGTATAACCTCAACCCCAGCTACTTGTGTTTTCGGTTCCATCATACCCATTTCTATAGCAACCATAACTGTTCTAAACAAGTCCTGCAGAGTAATAAGTTTGGGATTCCATTTAGCTTAAAAAATAATTTAAAGAAAAAAGTATTAATTTTCAAAAATTCATATACATACTTCCCCCATTTATTAACATTATTCTTGAACCTGATGGTGTTCTTGCTGGTAAAAATAAAAATACGTCATTGTCGAAAACTTTCCTGACCTCATTCGGCATTAAATTCAAACCATACTTTGGATATATCAGCTTAAACTTGTAGAACTTTTTAAACTATCAAAAAAGTTTATTATTACAGCATTAATTCTCCTTTATGCTATTTGTTATAGTAACTTACCACTTTAAAAGCTATTTCTGGATTAAATCTAAAGGGTCTTAGGAACTTTAATAGAAAATCTTCGTCATCTATGGGTACAAAAAGCTGAGTTTCACCTAGAAAACTTATCACATTATTATAAATATTTATACATGGATAGTGGAAATATTCCAACAATTCTTAAGAATACAAATTTAATACTTATGGTTTCTTGATATATTAGATACTTGTAAAAAAACTGACGAAAATTAAAAATAAATTTTAGAAATTGGAAAATTATAATACGGCATGACTATTTTGTTGTTTTGCCATAAGGTTTTCATTAACAAACCGCTCAATTTCGTATGGATAAATTTGGAGTTGCACTATGCTTTATATAAGCCATGAGAAAATCTAACAATTAGATATACTTCTACAACTACTGTACTGATGTATAAGTCTTATTAGGGTACGTGTCCACTGGAGAGCAATTCTCACGAGAGTTCTGATTTTAATTTTAGTATACCATCCTTAATCTTAGTTGTCATTTCAAATTTGAGAGGTATATTATTGCAATGAATTCAGTTATTACGAAAAAAATACACTGTCGCACTTCGAAATGCGTTGAGAGAAACCAGGTAAAAACGATACGCTTACTCAGTTGAGAGGAGGCCCGAACATGACTTCACGGGCTGATTTTGGAATTATTTCTCGCAAGCGCCCTCTCAAGTGGACACGTACCTTAAGACAACAAATCTATGAAAGGAAAAACGTCAGCTAATGCTATAAGCACTTAAATTACAGAAATAAAAACTTCATTTTAACATTAGCAAAAGCAACATGTCTACAAAATTTATTTTGTTTTCCAAATCCATTTGTGTGATTTTTCTCTAAAGATACGAGTAATACTCTACTGTTCACTACTGTTAGTAGTAGAAAATAATAAAGTAATTGTAATGTGCGATCAAAAATAAAACACCTCTAGTTACGACTCGATGCGCAAATGTTTTTTGAACATATGGCGTAGCTAACATCGTACATTCCAAATCTGTCAGTGTCAAACTCGTTCCGTCAGTTTTATCCAGAGATATGTAAAAGACTAGATACAGATATTTAATGTTCTCGTGGACATACTTTTAGGGCCAAGATGTCACTGTACGTTTATATCTCCCTCTTTTTCTCTAGCACGTATAATGGTAACCCGATATCTGAAGGTCTCGCTCTGTACGGCGCATGAGTTGGCGCAACGTTTGTCGTTGATGCCGTTCTTGTGTTTGTGCCGGTCCCTGTCAGACCACTCAGACTGTGGGTGGTTATGATTATTTATAATTCCCGCCATCAGAACGGGCCAATAACAAGACAACCACCTTTTAGAGAGTGATCGATGTAGCCTACACTTGGCAATCCATAGTACTGGTGCTGATATAGAAAAGGATAGCCGACACAAATAATTGCTACTCTTAGATCATAGATGTTCGCCCTAGATCGGGAAAGCTATAACCGCATCTGTCTTTTACATATCTCTGGTTTTATCATTGCTTTCATCTGTAGACAATCTGTCAGTATTGGATTTATCGATCTAACCTCAAATTATTGTTACGACTATATCTACGCCATACGTTCAGAAAACATTTGAGCATCGAGAAGTAACTAGAAGTGTTTTTTATTTGATCGCTCGTTATGAAACAACTAAGAATCCTATTGTTTTTAAATTTTGTTTCTGTAATGTCAATTTATTATTTCGTTATTTAAGTTTCAAAAATTTGTGACTGATTAATCCACACTTATCACTAGGGTAAAGGGTAAAATAAACAATTGCTTGAACAAACATGTAAAATTATTCCGTATGTAATTTGAAGGTGATTTGTTAATGTAGACGCAAAGCCAGAACCTACAGACGTATTCAACCATCAATTGAGAATAAATTTACTCACGTTACCTCAAAATGTGAAGGTCACCGAAAGCTTAAACAATGAAATTTTACCTCGTTTTACATTTATAAAATTTATAAAAGAATAATAATCGATTTGCCACATGAATTATTTTCAATTTCCAAAGTCGCACATAAAACTAATCACATGACTGTTGTAAAAAATATTATAGATACAATTGTAACGTATTATTGAACCAATACTTTAAATTATTAACTTATTTTATATTTGCAGAGGTTCACACGAAAACATTTATTCAAAAAACGTAATTGTCACATTTGTTAATTAAATTGAGAAAGAACTGAAAATAGGGTAAACACAACTACTTCTTACCTGATACATATTTTTTGAACTGACGTAGTGAACGTTCTACCACTTCAGGTGTTTCTCCCAACTCTTCTTTGGCACGTTCTTTAAACGATTCATCTAAATCTTCCAAATCAAGCCTCAATTTATGTTTACCTAATTGCACGAATGGGACGTTATTTGCATCAGTTTCTACACGTAAAACCATTTCTTGCACTTTTTAATAACTGTTAGTACTTAAATATCTTGCACTAACAAAATGAGGCCAACAATTTGTGTACAATTAAATGTAATGGGCAGATATACACGTGGGCTTTGCGCCTTTGCTTCTGGTATATCTAAGCAACTGAACGCCCCTCTTTGTCTCTTGATAATGGCATGTTCATTGTGTGTGGATACCATTTGTTGTTAGTCATTATTCGTCCGGAATATCAATGTATGAGTAATTTAAATTTCAAACATCACCTTATTAATGTGATAGTCTAGATTTAATTATCATTTTCAATATCTGCGATAAAAGATTTATATAAAGTTTCGCAATTTTTCCTTATTGTGTTCAGATTGCCGCGTACAAACACTGAGATAAATTAATGGTCGTGCTGTTTATAAAGTAATAGATTTTATGTACTACTTGAACGTATATAGACCAGATTTCGGCTACACACAATCTCTTACACAAATATACATATATCTATATATATGTATTTTTTACATAAAAGTCAAAATTTTATGATATTTTAATTATTTATGTATTTACCTAAAACGATAAATGTCAGACGCGGGTTCGAAAGTCAACTGTCCTATGAAGCGAAACTTGACATTCGTCAAATTCTCCTTAGCAATATTGTTTGCTAGACTACCAAGATTTGTAGTCCGGAAAGACGATTCGTAGTACCTATACAGCTGTAAAAAAGACTGATTATATACAGGGTGTCTCAGAAATAAGTACATTAATTTTAATCAGTTATAGAACTCAACAAAATTAACAACTTTTTTAATAGGCTTTTGTCAGAAACTTTTTAATTATAAAGTTAAAAATTGTTAAAGTTTTAAACAAATTAAGGTTACCCGCCCATGGATCCTCAGTCACCCATGGACACTAACAATTATTATTATAATTAATAATTTATGGTCAAAAACAATTACTAGAATACGTATTTTTCTAATCATGTCAACATGACAAACATTTGGACGTTTAATAACACACACTTGACATAAAAATGTTGCTATTATTTATGTTATCATTTAAGGTGAACATAGACGGCTCGTGAATATATGGGTGGGAAAATTCTAAATTCGACTTGAGTTTTCGAACAAATGCTATATAAAAAAGTTGTTCCGTTTCACGAGTCCTGTCACTGGTTAAAATTAATGTACTTATTTCTGAGACACCCTGTATATATAAGTGGTGATTATATATGTTATTATGTATTCTTTATATATGATATATGCCCAAAAATGGTCCATTCTTGTAGTGGATAGGAGGCACACCCAGAATCGAGCACCCGTTTGCAAACAAATGATGATCATATTGAAACAATGCTATCTGTTAAAGTTAATTATTTACAGAAGCATGTTAGCTTGCTGTGTCTTAAATTTCATCAATTTCGTGAATAACAGTTTTTCCAAAATCTGCATTTATTCTGGACCCTGTCATACAAAATCCCGCCAAATGCGATGTCCACAGAGTGATACTACGTTTGTTAACAACTCAAAACTATAAACCCCTGCGAAATCGTCCAGCATACAGTGCTTTCTTCGCACCCACTTATTTTCACCTGTTTAAAGAACTGAAAAATGATTTACGTGAAAAACGATTTGAAACTAATGATGAGGTAAAATTGACTGCGAACTAAGTGGCTGCGTGAACAGATGGGAAAGTTTAGACAGCAGGTATACAAAAACAAGTACCAGGCGACGAGAAATGCTTAACTATAGGTGGAGACTATGTGGAAAAATAAGTCAATGTTTGTAGTTTGTAAAAATAAATAACTGTTAGCTGGACAACTTGTTTCTATATTAAAGCAAAACGGGTAGTACTGTCTGGATATATGTGCTTCATATATCAACAAAGTGAAGTTTGCTTTTAAAAACAAGTCGTACGACATAGATGGGATCTTTATTTCACTAGGAGTGTAATACTTTACGTGTTAAAACAATCATAACTGGAATAAAATATGCTAAACCTGGCTTACAGAAGTTCAATTAAATGCTTGGTTGGGATGAAATTATTACATTAAATTTTTAATAAAATTTCATCCAGAAATTAGCTTTCTTTCAAAAGTTATAGAGAGGAGGAGTATGTACTTTATAAAGGTATATTATTATTATTTATTATTTCATTGCATAGTTTCCCCACACAGAGTGATTTTAACAATAGACATCACTATTATATTGCAAAAATCATTCACTCGGAATCAACAAAAAACTTGAATTTAATTCTTACACGTCTGCTTAACTTTTGTATTTATTCTTCATTATGGCTCCTTAAAAACACTACTTACAAATAATATCAGGTGTCTAAATAAAAATATGAACAAAAGTGTTATGTCACCAACTTTTGTTTTTTTCCATTATATCGTTTTTGAAATGAATTTTGAAAGCTGTCATCCGCGTATTGGATCGATTGTTATGAATTAATAACCTCTAAATTGAGTTTGACATCGAAACACGGTCATCGAAATGACAAATGTCTTGAACACAATGACAGACACTTTGACATACGGAAAAAGAACAATAAAACAGGACCGAATAAATCTCAAAGATTTCAATATTGATATGACATCGCAAAAACTGGAACCACCCAAGAAGCTCGTTTTATTCAGGGTGTAAATAAAAATGCATTTTTTTGTTAAATTAAAAGTAGTTGTGAATTTGAATAAAGTTTCATCCATGCATCTACCCAACAATTTGGTTGAAAGCCTAAAATTGTTTCATTTAATTGAATCAGTAAATGTACAAATAGGTACATCCTTATATACCGGATGTCCCATGTAACACTTTCGGGCACAATAACTCAGACATTTTTGAACGGATTGTTATGAAATTTGAAGTGTAGGTATTTTGATAGGTGACAATTAATATGAACCGGCGAGAATAATCATTATCTTGAAAAAGTAAATTTTCCATGCCTTAATTTAATTTTGAATTAATTAAGTTTTGCATCACTTGATTAAACATGAAAAATAAATACTATATGCAAAAATTCATCTCCGAAATACATCTGGTTAGACAAAAAACGACAAATTATTGCGCAAATAATTCCAAAAAGTATTAAAGAATAGGTAGCTGTGAAACATAAAACTGCTATCGTCACATTTTGGACACCCTTGCGGGAATTTGATACCTGTTTGCCAAGCGTTATTTTATGAATTTTAAGAAAATACTAATTTTCAGTTACTCGGCTATAATCTTTTCAAAGGTGCAAAATTGATTTAGGTTCAGGAATTAATTCTAACTTAAATGGAAATAATTTTGCTAGGTGTATTTAACATCTTGTTTTTTTCACTCGTTTTAGGTCTTGTACACTTCCTGCATCTTCAAATAAGTTTATTATTCTCTGTACTTTGAATCTGGTAAATTCGTCATCGGGATACCGTTCGATAACAGTCCTGATTGTTTGATCTAGGTCTATACGGCATTCTCCGTAGGTTAAAATGATTTCTGTTTTAATAATTAAAGAAAAGCAAATAATTTTTGGATAGTGGTTAAATAGTTATTTATGCAACTAGTGAGTAAAGTGTATCTTTTTTTACGAGAAGAAAAATTTGCCGTACGAGCCGAAGGCGAGTGCGCAAATCCGCCGAGTAAAAAAAGCCACTTTACTCACGAGTCGCACACAAAATTTTTTCGCGTTCATAACAAAACTCAACACCCACCAATTTCAAAAACTTTTTATTTTGGAACATAGATATTAAATGTAGCCGTATTTGCCGTCTTGACAATTTTTTCGGGGGTGTACGAGAAATCTTCATCGCTGTCCGATTCCGTTGTCCGAGCACACAAATTACAACACACCGAGAAAATTAATACAAACCACTTGTGTTGATGAATTATCCTAGCAACGGCAGGCTTCTATGTTTTATTCAGTTAAAAAATGACACGCCACGGTACTTTTTTTCACTCAAATGCGTGAAAAAATGAACCGCTATGACACTTTTTTCACGCAATTGAGGGCGATGAAATAAACGTATCCTTTATAAACAAAAATTAATAAAAAATGTTACATTTTTGTTAAAGAACGTTTAAAAACTATATTAAACAAAGGTTCAATTAAATCATCGTTTAAACACGTAGTAGTGTTAGTGTTTGTATCAGCTGGTAAGCACATTGTGCAAATATTCTGACCAGATAGTGAGTTAATGAACCCACTTTATCATTTTCTGCTATCAACTTCAGTTAACAGTAAGTCTTCTATTTACAATTAAATACTACACCATAAAATTTTAACTCTTAGGAATTTTGACATCTTAATTGACAGTAAGTTTTTTGAAAGTTGTGAATTTTCTTGGCGCAACACGTACCTACCTACACATTTTGTCAGGGTGTAGGTAGTATTTGACTTACCAAAGTATTAATTAAATTTTAAATTATTATGCACTGTTAGGTATAACGAAACTTACTTCGGTGGTACCTACTACTTTCTAGGTAAAAAATATCAATAATAAAAAAATTGTTGTTTTTGTATTAAAAATATGAAATAATAAATTGGTTCAATAGACGACATCATCTTATTTCAAATATGTAGTGACTTAAACGTATCCAGGTTTATTCCAATTACAAATAATAAATATATTCCCTAGAAGATTTACAAGTAAAACTGCTACTTCGTTTAAGTGATTTTAAATAGTGATTTTTGCATAACAAATAAATCGGCAAAAGTACGGACTGATTATTTGTTCTCAACAAACTGTTTATATTTAATAATTTTGAAATTAACTATTTCAATTTGTTATTCTAGCTTATGCCGTCAAACTTTTTCCACCACTAATATTCCACTTCTTTAATAGAGTAAGAAACTAAACGTTTTACTATATTCAATAATTCACCAGTTTTTACTATATTACTAATATTTTCATGTTTTAGTGTTCATGTTTTACCTAGGAAATTATATCTCTTACCATTAATTGTCATATTTACGTCGTACAAACAATCAAATAGCCATTAAATTCTCTTTAACCTAATAGTACATATTTTGCATATTTTTGAAATTAACATGAATACCATGAATTGGAAAATTTTGTAACAAATTATTATCATAGACTATAACCATTCTAAACATAATGCTTTCACTTCAACTGATTACATTGTCAACACAAAATAATTCGTTACATTTCTGGTTTCTACAGAAAATTATATTTAATTAATATTTTAAAATA